AAAACATTTGTGTGTGTGTGTGTGTGTGTGTGTGTTTAATACTAAAGTAATAGTATAAAATAACTGCTTAGCTATTATAAAATTCAGACTACATGTTCTGGGGAAGTTTGTCCTAGACCTATTAGGCCAAGTTAGCTTAATCACCGCCATGTTAGGGAATAGTGGGGCAAGTTAGCTTAATTGCTACCTTGTTAAGTCTTCAAGGACAGAGCTCAGTTTGTAGGGCCTCAAGGATGGAAACCAGGGGTCTGGGAACTCTCAGATAAGTGGAAAACGGGAGGGCCCAGCACCTCCAAGGCAAGGTCATTCGGACCCTTAGCTGAGAGCCCTTATCTAGACCTGAGCAGGTGATGACAGCTGGACCCTCGCTTCTCATACCCCCTCCTTGGTATGTGTGACATTCTATGGAAAATCCTGAACTATAAAGATCCCTTTATCTTAGGCTCGAGGTCCTTGTTGAGGCCCGCTGCGACGGGCAGAAACTCGGACCCCAGCTAGCTGGAAAAAGAATAAAAGCCTCTTTTGCAGTTGCTTTGTCGTTGTCTTTTCTGCGTCTCCATCAGTTAGACCGATCTCTGGACCCTTACAGCCCTCGAAAACAAACTAGGCTATTTGCTGAAGGTTGTGTTCAGGTCATCACTAGCTCTAGTTCTCTGATGTGTGTTGAAGTGCAAATCCCCAGAGCAAAGAGATGGATCCTTTGAGTACAGGGTGTTGAGGTCTTGAGAAATGAGTACAGGTAGGCTGTGACTTAGAAAGGAACTGGCACAAGGACCAGCATTTAGTGTAATGGCTATATTGCTGAACTCCCATGTAGTTGACCGTGGTTCGAATCCTGGACCTAGTGGCTTAAACTCATGCTGGGCTTGTGTTCGTGCATGCCCAAGATCCCGAGAGGAGAATGGAGGAGAAGGGATTGTGGCATGGCCATCTCCCATGGGAGGTGATTTCTCACTTTCTGTCTCTGTCTCTCTCTGTCTTTCTGGCGAGTGCACGCACCCTATAGCACAAACCTCTCAAAAAAAAAAAAAAGGAACTGGCCCAGACTAAACATGGACCAGGCCCGATGTCTACTGAAATCTCAGACTTAGAAAATCACTAAATGGGACCAGCAGTTAGCGTAATGGCTATGTCGCTGGACTCCCATGTAATCGACCACAGTTCGAGTCCCAGACCTGGTGGCTGAAACTCATGCCGGGCATGTATGCATGCATGCCCAAGATCCCGAGAGAAGAATGGAGGAGAAGGGATTGCAGCGTGGTCATCCCCCCTGGAAGGTGATTTCTCACTTTCTATCTCTCTGTCTCTCTCTGTCTGTATGGTGAGCACACGTGCCCTATAGCAAAAACCTCTCCAAAATAATAATAATAATAAAATCACTAAATGGTCAAAGCTCACTCTTCAGGTTAGAAGACTGAGGCATGAGGCCTTGCAAACAGGAGGCTGCTATACCGTGGCAGGAGCTGGTATATATCACCTCTCACATTTGCACCCTCTTATATCTTGAACATGGGAGGAGAAAGCACTATGTACTCAACCCCAAACTGTACTACATGGTCTGTGTCCCTTGTGCCTTGGTATTGGCTACAACTTTCTAAACAGTGTCAAGAAAGCATGTGGAGGCCTCAGTACATTCAATGGCTCTTTATTGTCCTTTATTACAGCTGAGATTTTCTCAAAGGAAAAGCTGAGCAGGGAGGGCAGATGCTCTTGCTACTACCTGCTGTCTGTGCCCATGCGGGTCCGCACTGCCTCTTCCTAGTGAGGTCCATCTGAATGTCCGAATTCTCTTTCATGCTCATCTTCTTTCAGGAGATCTCTATTGCTTTCCCATTGCTACACTTATATATTTATATAACATATAGATAAGTGTATGACGATTACATATAAGTATATA